AGATAACAGATTATGTGTGTGCCGGATCATGAACAATAAGACATGCTGGATGCTGAACGGTAGGGAGCAAAACTTGGATTGTTGCTAGGGAGGTCTGCAGCAGTGCGGCAGCCACACGATGGACAATCACAGCTGCAGTAGTCATTACCAGCAGAGAAGTCAGAGAGCAAATCCTCAAAAATAATCTAATTTGCTAGTTACTGAACCACATGCATGTCAAAGCTAAATTTCTAGTGGCTGAATAATGCGCATACAAGTAAATTCTTCAGGAAGTCCCATTCATTCCTAAATTGTAAGAAGGGGCAGTACCGATTTTTGGCTAAATAATGTGCATACAAGTAAATTCTTTAGGAAGCCCCATTCATTCCTAAGCTGTAAGAAGGGGCAGTACTGATTTTTGGCTGAATAATGCGCATACAAGTAAATTCTTCATGAATCCCCATTCATTCCGAAGCTGAGAGCAGGGATAGTACCCTTTTTGTGAACAAAATATTCATTACTAAAATAGCTGTAATTGCATTAATCAAGATCAGGACATGTAAAGCAGAAACTCTGCGTGTCGCTGCCTCACCAAGAACACCAAGAACAAAAAAGAGGTAAAATAGTGCTTGCAGTAAGCTGATGGGTTGATGATTTGCTTATTATATAGTAACTAATGAGCAACCAAAAAATAAGAAAAAGAAAGACACCAATTGCTTGAACAGAGATAATTGGGAAGGTACAGATTAATCAGAATTGAAAGACTAAAAGTCTGGGAGGCATAAGGATTGCAAACAACAAGAATGTGCTGTATATAAGCAAACAATCAAATCTAAAAATGTAGAAAAACAGAGCATGCTATTCAGTTTGAGGACTTCAGAAACAATTATGTTTTGTTTCCTTCATGCCACTGGTTACCTAAGGCCAGGTGTTTAACTAAAAGATTACTGATTATTATCCATTAGTTCAGCATAAAGTAACTATATTGTAAAGAAATTATCTTACGTACACTGACAGGAATTAGTTCAGCATTCAAGTTCTAGGACATGTAACAAATGCATTTTTCAGATATTGTTTGGCTGCATAGAAAATCGATATGCCAGTGCCGCATTACTGATTCTACCTTGATGGCCTGAATGTTTGTTTCTAGACGTTCAATCCCAACTCCAGCTTCAGGGAATGCTCGACTCAAACCAACAAGGATCTGAAGATTAATTAAAAGAAGCATAGAAAGAATTAATTTTAGAAATTATCTCGTAGTACATGCCTTCAGATTTGAGCAAAAGCAAACGCTCACCACAGGAGAAGCAGATTCTACCTTGATGGCCTAAATGTTTGTTTTTGGACGTTCAATCCCAACTCCAGCTTCAGGGAGTGCTCGACTCAAACAAACAAGGATCTAAAGATTAATTAAAAGAAACACAGAAAAAATTAATTTTATAAATTACCTCATAGTACATGCCTTCAGATTTGAGCAAAATCAAACGCTCACCACAGGAGAAGCAAGTAATATTGTAGATTGATGAACATCATAGAGTGGTACACGGAAACATGCATGCAAGTGTGGAAGGAGTAACTTTAATTAAAAACTATAAAACTGAATTTACTCAAGTTTGAACTTCACTAGGTTAGCGAAATCGTGAATGACTACAAGGCCAAAATTGGTCGTTGCTTCAGAATCTTTCCGTTTGTCTCGACGAGTCCAAATCCTCAAACAAAGAATGCATCACCGAACAACCAATTAACAGTATGGGGACGGTGCAAAGTACATAGGCACCACTTGAAAAACCTTCACTGATAGACCACCAATCTTCAGTTTCCATAATTAGCTTCGACTACACATCATCAGTGAATGCAAATGGCAAATGAATTGCTCATAACACATTGAGGACTATTCATCGCTTCACAATTGGTGAATCTTGTGTGTTTAGAGAATATAGAACTTTAGATTGTGGCACTGTGCTCCTTGGAATCTCAGTATTGCATACGGAGGAAAAGAACTTATTTTAATAACATGTCATTTTGTTTTGCCAAATCAATCACTTGTTTATAGTTTAATACTATGGTTTACCAGTTGTCTGACAAAACCAAAAGCTTTCAGATGTCTGACAAAACCAAAACCAAAACCAAAAGGCGAGGAGGAGGAGGAGGAGGTTGGACAGCCTGTGTGAAGACCTGAACGATGACGAGTCGACGATGCGGCAACGACGGCCCTTGGTGAGGACCTGCTCTTCGGGCGGTCCTTGACGTGTTCTGCGTCTCCATTGTGTGGCTGCCTGAGGAGGACCGTCTCCGTTGTTGGATGGTGGTGCGGTGACCTAAGGCGGCTGAGAAGACGATCTCCGCGCGGTCGTGGCCATGGAGGGCGGCTCCAAGACGACAACAATGGAGCAGCAAGCTGTCGTGGCGGCGGATGGTTGGCGGTGCAGAGCACGGATGTCGGAGCAGCGTCCTGATTCCGTGTGGTGGTCGTGAGGGGGGAGGGAGCGCTATGGCCTATGGGTGAGTGTCATAGACGCCGAGATCGTAGTGCCGGGGGCCCCAGGGGGGATTTGGAGGGAGACGGGATTGGGAAGGGAGGGAGCGTGATTGGAGGAACCGTGATTTTCGGTCACGCGAGTGACGCTGGGCGGGGTGTGGGAGCGAGCGACACCAAATCACCGGATGGAGCAAGGTTTGTTTCCTTCCGCTAGGTTTGTTTCTTTTTTGAATTTTGTCACAAGGGACGGGTAAAGAGTGAGGGGCGTGGGATCGCAGCAGGTGACCCATGTTATAATGTTGCACCAAAACGATGTCCACTCTTACTCTTTTTAGTTGTGAGATATTTAGATATAATATATATCTAAATGTATAACATAATTTATTTATCTACAAAGTTAAAATATTTTATAATTTAGAACAGACCAAGTGTCTGTTAGCCTTTTTTTGAAAATGTTGATCTCCCTCCATTATCTTAAAAGTCTGATTTTACTACTTAACTAGATCCTTATAATTTTTAAAAGAGTAAAGTCCACTAGCGGTCCTCAAACTGCTCGATGGTGTCATCCCAGTCTCTAAACTCTCAAATTGATCGTTTAGGTCCTCAAATTGGTTCAATCTTTGTCATCTAGGTCCCTAAACTCATAAATCGTTCGTTTATATCCTCAAACTTGTTTAGCTGTGTCATCTAGTTCCCTAAACTTGCAAATAAGTTGTTTAAGTCCTTAAACTTATTTGGTTGCATCATCTAAGTCCCTAAATGCTTTAAACTTGTGAATCAATATATATTTATAGAACTGTCCAAAAATTGCAAATCCAATTTTAATAGACTCCCGGTAACATATACTTTAAATTTGAATAAAAGAAATCAACACTTCTGTAATTTTATGAGATTTATTTATAGCACAAGACAACATATAAAATATATATGCCTATTTAGTTATTTAACTGCATAGTTCAAAATAGAAAGTATTGGGTGATTTCTTTTATTGAGTAATTTTTATTGAAAAAATAATTTCTATGATTTTCTATAAAGTCTAATTGATCTTATTGAACTATTGATGTAGTTTGATTTACATCTAGCTGACGTGACGTCGTGCAGGCAGTTTCGAAAGTTGGAGAGCCTAAAAAACTGTTTTTATAAATGCGGCATGTAAATCGGACTTTCGCGAGAACTAAAAAATGGGTTAGTTGGACTTATCCATATTTACATAAAATATTAATAGTATACTTCCAGTTACGGGCCCATCTCATATCCGTGGGCCTGGTGTGGCTGGCTGTTGGAGTATTAGCGTGTGCGTTCTTTAGCCCATATGTCTCCACCTCCATATTGGGCTTGCTCCTGACATTGAACCACTTTTTCTTCGAAGCAGCCCACCTTAGTACGGCTAACGCTTGTCACTACGTCCGTGAGCATCCCTGTGTATGGCACCATGCGACGCGACGCCGTTCGTTGTCCGACGCCGCCAGGGGCCGTCCCCCGCTGTCACTTCCCGTCTTCAACCCTCTCGTAGATGTACGTATCACCAACCCGGCCGGCGCCGGCCTGCTCGCACTGATGATCGAGATCGACAAATGATAACCCGCCCGCAGCCCGGCACGGCCGGCCCACCACCGCCACCGTCCAGGTCCAGCTAGCCAACTCGGCGGCGGCCTTCGATGCCCGCCCGTCGCGGCGCGCGCGCCCTGGATTGGATCCAGTCATCCAGATCAGCAACCAGCGTGGCATGAAGCTCGGCGAGCCGAGCCACGTACACCTACTGCGTAGGCACACACGCGGTCCGGGCCGGTCCGGGACGGGGGACGGCAGGCACCAGGCAGATCAGATCAGTACGTGTACGGGCCTACGCTACACGTCACCAGGCCCGCGGTGCCGAAAGCGAATTCCCCGTCGACATCCTCCTCCGCTTCCCCCAATCCCTATCCATTTCCCCGCTGCGCTCCTCGATCGGGCCCCGCTTCCCTCCAACTCCAACGCCCCCTCCGCGCCCGGCGCCCCTCCTCCTCCTCCTCCTTTCTGCCGGCAGCGGCAACAGGACACAGGCGCATAAAAAATAGCACCGCCACCACCACGCCCACGCTCCATCCACACGCTGCAGTTTCTGGAAGGCCCCCGGCGTCCGCTTAAAGGCGCCGTTCGCACCGGTCGCCTCCCCGCGCCCCCACTGGCTCTGCCGCGCGCGGCCCTCGCCCGTTTTAATCACCGTCCAGCGCGGCCACAGCTAAGCCGACCGCGCCCAATCGTCCGTTCCGCCACCGCGGTTCCGCTCCCAATACAGGCGTGTCCACCGCGCGCGCGCGCCCTGCTCTGTTGCTCACGTCTTGCTCGCCCTCTTTCTTCTTATTCCCTCCCCCTCCGAACTGCCAAGCCGGCCTCCAACCGAGGAGGAGAGGAGCCCTGTCGTGGCAGGTTAGTTGCCGGCCGTGTTCGCCGGACGGCCCGCCCGACCCTTTTCCTCGCGACCTCGCCCGGTCCGAGAGCCGGCCGGGGAGCTGGAGCCTGCTCGATCGAGCTCTTGCGCGCGCGGGCGGTTGACGATGTCATGTGGCCCCTCTGCGTCATCTCCGAGAAGCTCTTCAAGATGGCGGGCGACGACGGCGTGCAGGGGGCGGCGGGCTCGCCGTCCCCCGACGGACAGATTCCACTAGCACGCCGATCGTACTACGTCGATGTGAGCCCTTACTACTCCCGTCACTCAATTATTTATCTCACTGTGCGTTTTCTGACTTTCTGCGTAGCATAGCATGCGCTTTCCTCATTGTTCACTGTTGTTTTGACAAATTTGGGCTCTTGCTCTGGACTTCTCGTGATGCTGGTAGGTTCCGCATGTGCAGCAGGCCTTCACCTGGGACTGCGGCCTCGCTTGCGTGCTCATGGTGCTTAGGACGCTGGGGATTCATTGCTGCGACGGCATTGCCGATCTCGAGAGGCTCTGCCGCACCACGAGGTTCTATCTCTAATTCTCTAGGACTGGAATATCACAATTTTGAGTACAATTAGCTGTACAGCAGAACTAAAGAAATGGCCGTCAGTTTGATTGTGTCCCTAAGCACGCACGTTCAGAAAGTAGAAGGGAAAAAAAAAGGAAAGTAGTAGTACAGAGCTAAATGATTGTTTCTCAATGATCATAAGAGAATATTTGGTCTAGAGTAGGGAATTCTCTAGTGTGGTCATAAGAACAGAAAAATGAAATATTTTCTTCGTTCCAAAAAAAATGACAGTACTACTTAAAGAACAAAAGCTACATTTTTGGAATATGAAAATGGTTACCTTAATTGTACCCTGTTGTCATTTTTTTCATTAGCTGTTGATATTATCTTTTCTCGCTAGTGACAACTCATAATGATAACAGGAGCTGTATGGACTACGATGGTTGTACTAGCTAATATGCAAAGGCGTTTTTCTTTTGTTGATGTGGGGAATCTATTTAAGCACTGTGCATGGACTCAACAATAAGCGAATACTCACTTCGATTATTGACATACACATATGACATGTTGGATTAGCTGAAACTGACTTTTACAATGTCTTCAAATTTTAACCTATTAATTAAAAGTAGTACAAGCTTGATGAACAAATGCTGTTTAACACTTTTGTTTGCAGCATTTGGACGGTTGACTTAGCATATCTGTTAAACAAGTTTTCAGTCAGTTTTTCTTTCTTTACTGTGACTCTTGGAGCAAATCCACAGTATTCTGCTGAATCCTTCTATAGGGTACGTGTTCTGACGAACTTCTACTGCACGACTCTTCTGAAGTTCGCATTAGTAATGTTCTAAAAACGGTCATTTCATAGGAGCAATTGCAAGAAGACATCAATCGAGTGGATGAGCTATTTGGGAAGGCACTTGATGCTGGAATTAGTATCCAGGTATGCTCACAACAGATAGCAACATGAAAATTCTGCATTACATGTACTTCACATATTGGTTTTCAAGCTAACTTTTTTTTCTCCAATTTATGGCTTCTCACAGTGCAGGTCCATCACCGTATATGACATTGCTTTTCTACTGCTGTCTGGGCACTGCATTGCTATTGCTTTAGTGGACAAATCGAAGCTAAAGTAAGTGTTTTTCCTTGTTGCTGTTACTAGAATGATATGTAGCTCTTTTTGTTTCACTCTTTCTCCATGAACTGTCAATTTCTCCATGAACTATCAATTTCACGCTTTCTCCATGAAAGTTGAGGTATCGACAGAACATAATTATAACCGTAATCTTGAATGCAGTTTGCCTTGCATGAGTGATCATGATGTGCAACAGCTCAACGAGGAGTCAGACTACATGGGTAAGTCACCTTGTGCAATTTCCAGGTTATTGTGAGGTGAATGATAAGCATTTTGGTGGTTTTGATTATTTGCTTATCTTGTATTACAAGCAGCATGGATGTTCCATCCCATCATATTGTAGCACTTCATAATTATTTATGATCAACAAGCGGCTTCAGTAGTTTAATTCTGGATAACACACATTTATGCAGCAAAGGAAGTGGCGTAGTTTGGCTTTGTTTCTTTTTTTGTAAGGATAGCTGTATCTCAAATTCACATGCCATGTCTTGTTTTTCTTGTCTGGTACTAATATGGAGTTCAAATCTCCTTGTTTTCCTTTCCCCCCTATCTTCATTAAATAACTATACATATGACAAAACACATTGCAAACACAAACATTTACCACTAAAGTAATGTGATTGTATTTCCCCTTTGCAGGGCATTATGTCGTAATATGTGGGTATGATGCTGATGATTGTGAATTTGAGATAAGAGATCCTGCGAGTTCCAGGTAAACGATAGTCACTTCGTCTGTATTTTTTCCATGAAAATGAGTGCTTTTAATGAAGTTCGGATAGTACTTTTTCTCCTGCTGCTAATTGCATAACTTACATGCCAATGAATCTAAATAGTAACGTTACCTGAGTTATTCCAGCTTCTGATTTGAGGCAATGCCTCATGGCACCACCCATTTATATCGGGATTCCTCTTCATATATATTAGTTAATTTTGGGCAACGGAAGCAAAATCTGAATCAGAAACATAAGGCTGTTTGTTGACTATACCAGGAAACGCGAACGGGTGACAATGAAGAGCTTAGACGAGGCCCGCAAATCCTTTGGAACAGATGAGGATATTCTCTTGGTAGGATTTGCATTATGATTTGTTGCTTACATTTCTTTTTTTTTGAAGAAAATTTGTTGCTTACATTTCAGTCGTGTCATGCTCGTGTGCTAGTGCTGTTCATACTAGTAGTGTACTGTCGTTTCATATAATCTCTCTTGCAGGTCTCCTTAACCGGAAAGAGTGGAATGAAGCTCTCTCGTAAACTACTGGCCTGCTCCATGTAAATAGGTCACTAGCAACCAGCCACCTTGTGTATACGCTGTACATGTCCCTGTATGTAGTCATGATTGTCGATTGTCAGCCTTGTAGCTGAGAACGTTCTTCCAGCCTGATAGGAACAGTATATTAGTGAACTTAGTAAGCATCCGGTTTGTTGGCTCATGCCATCACCACCAAACTTTGGTTGCAAAGGCCAAAGGGTTCAGCAGCAGCAAAAAAGCTATGCTGATCTTGTATTGTAACGAGCAAATGTTATACTACGATTATAGCTGAATGAACGTGTACACGGTGTACAGATCTCCAGAAATAAATTGTACTCTTCTGCAATTCCGTCTACTCTGCTGCTGCTGGAATGTTTGGCGTACATGCAGTTTCGTGGGAGCGCTTGCGTTGCTGTCGGTTGTACTCGCCAATCATTCGAGGTCGCTTCTGCCAGACCCAACCGTTCGTCAGTGTTAGGATTGATTCGTCAGATGCGCACAACTTCACCCTCCTGCCTGCACGTTACTTTCTAGCGATTGCATTCATATACGGTGTTCGGCTGGTAGATAAGTGTTTGGTACTGAAAAATAAGATAAAATATTATTCGAATAGTGTTATTCGTGAAAGAGAATGTAATGCTGAAAACTTTCTGAGAGCGCTGGCCAGCCCAGCCGAACGCGGCCAGCCAGCCGAACGCGCGGGGAGCTGGTGATTAGGAAACAACTGTCTCGTTGTCAATGAACAGTGTGTGCAGAGCGTGCGCGTGTGCCTTTTTGTAACTAAAAAAAGTGTTAGGATTGATTCGTCAGATGCGCACACACGCGGACTTCCGTGACGCTTTTTTTGCTGTACACGAATCCATCCCAATCCACTCAATCCCTCCCCTAAGGTTGTGTATTATTCCTACAAAGTACTGTCTACGAAAAGGCGATTTGCACGATGTGCTTGTACAGAAGATAAGATGGTTAAGTTCACTCTGGGTGCTTAAATGTACTAACAAGATAATTAAGCTTATTTATAAGCATCTGTTTGTATTGGAGAGATTTACCTTGTATACATGTATTAATGAAGCATATACATCTCGCATTCTAAATGCTACAATAGGCACGTGCCGGGATAGTATTCAGTCACTGTCAAATCATAGCGGAACGACCTCTCTGTAGTGAATGATTGTGAGGTGACGATGGGAAGTTTCCACTGCCTCCTAGTAGCCCATCCGTTCGGTAAGCAAAGCAAGGTGGTTACTGAAAAGTCCGCGGAATGGCCCCGCGAACCGTCCCGATTCACCCGTCTCACCTAAGGCAAACGGGACGGGCAAGCAGCAGTTTTTTTTCTTTTTTTTTAAAAAAAGGCAAGCAACAGATTTCTTCTCCCCGAGTTGCAGGTCCTGTTCGTTATGTTGTGTCTGGAAAGTAGCTCCAGCGAACAGGGCCGCAATCGTGGAAGAAACCGACGTAGCGGGCCACGGGCCATCATGGGCCACCCACGACCACACGAGTCGTTGCTGGTGCGACGTGACGCCGGCGACAGGGACGCGAGTTCGCGCGACCGCGACGGGCTTTTTTCCGTCGCCCAGCGCCCCAGCCAGTCGCTCCCGCCGGGCCGCCCGCCTGAGTGGAGATCTGCCTTGAATTGCACTTCAGAGACTGGCGTTTTTCGTAGCTGTCCTCTGATTTGATCGGTTACGTGCACCCTTTGATCCGTTTCTTTCGAGAAGCGCAAAACCGATACAACACGGAGCATCGATCAAGGCAGCTCTCGAAAAACTTGCTGTGGCAGAAACAGGGAAAATTCGTACCGGAATGGCAACTTACCCCAGCCACAGGCGGCAGATGCGACGACGCTACGAGTTTTCGAGTCAGGTAGTACTCGTCGAATAGAACAATCAGAACTGCACCCGCTTTCGAGTCACGAACCGATCAGCCGATACCTGATCAGGTACTAAAGCAAAGGAACGAAAGGACCTTTCGACCGGGGCCGTTTACGTACCTCGTTCGTCGACAGATCAGGCGACCTATCGCCTATGGGAGATTCAGAGCCAGTCCTTCCTACCACGATCCGCGTCACGGCGTAGCCCCGGCCAGGCCTCGCCTTTGATCTAGTGGTTACGAACGAAAGTTGCCGCTCAGTTTGCCGGAAAGGAAGCCCGGTGACGCGCACCGGTGTTGTGTTTGGCCGCGGTTACGTCGAGACTGACTTGAGACTGAGAGCCACACGAATCCCCTTTTTCCTCCTTTGGTTGCCTCGCCCGCCCCGAGTGATGGTTTCGGTGCGTGCCCGATCGAGCTTTTCCTTCGTGACGCGACACGATATGGACGTCCGGTACGACACGAGGCCGTGCGCGGGAGCGAGCGCGCGCAGGAACGCACGCACGTTTTGCCGTTAGTTTCGGCGTGGCGCCGGGCGGCCACGCACGCGACGTCGCCCCAGTGGCGACAGGCCGTGGTGCGCGCTCTGTCAGGTACCCATCCATGGGCCATCGATCCGCAGACGCCCCGTTGTGTTCTGAGCGACGTCCAGCTCGTTTCTTTCCGGCGGAGCCACGCGCCGCATTCACTGGTGCACGCACTACTCTCGTTTCGGTAGACAGTGGGGATGGCCGAGCACGACATTTTGGATAACGAAAGCGTGAGACCACCACTTGTCCTGCCTGGCGCCTGCCTTCAGTGGCAGCATAGCAACGAGTAGAGTTGTACCAAACCGGCATTCAAACAGACCGTGCTCGTCCTTCGATGCGGCCGGCCCAGGCGCAGCTCCGATCGACCGACGATCGTCACCAGCAGTTGGTCTATGAATATGAAGATGACAAGAGCACAGGAACTCCAGCCCTACAGGCTACACTATTAATGCCGTAGTTACTCCGACTACTACAACACAGCACGCCGTAAAGAAAGCCCGCCCTGCACCCAGTCCGTACTCTCCTCGGACAAGCACGCAGCCTTGGTGTTACGGGCCTTACGGCAGCAGCGGCACCGGCACTGATGTGGTCTACTAGTGGGCTGCTACTAGCTGCTTAGGGCGTCTCCAACGATACGGGGCTGGTGTCTAAACCAGCTGATTTCGGCTAATTTAATAATATTATATAAGAGAAAATAAGTTAAAATAAGTAGATTCGTCTGAAAAGTAGTTTGCTAAGCTCTTGGTTCTTCGCTAGCGTGATGAGTTTTTGGTTTCTCTACTTTCGGCCCTGTTAGGTTGTCTAGTCCATCACCAAAGTTTTAGTTCATTTTAGTTATGAATTAAAAGTGAATTAAAGTGTTATTTGGTTCCTTAAAGTAAAATAGATTAAAGTTATTAAATAATATAGAAGAAAGACCCTTTTACTCACCCCTTTACTAGGTGAGAGAGAGAGGGTAATAAATGAGGGGCATGGGTGTCCCAACAACTTTTAGTCCATTTTAGTCTAGTTTTATAGACTAAAGGACTTTAGTCCACTTTTAGTCTAAGTGTTTGGCTGTTTAGTCCAACTAAAATGCAGATTTTAGTCTAAAATACCCCTACATGAATTTTATTGAAGTTAAATAATAGAAAAAAATATAACAACAACAGTAGAGTTCACAAAATTCAAGAAAGAAAGAAAGAAAATGGCTACTACTTCTTAATTGGGTAGATGTTCCTCCTAGCTAGCGAGTCGTACCACATAGGATTCACGCGTCGTCTAGGCCGGTTCCTCTCGTCACGGGGCCAAGCAAGAGGACAGAGAACGCCAGAACGGCCAAATGAATAAATGCTCTAGACATCCTTGGTGTGAGGCAAATCTACTCAGGATTCTGCCCGATTTACCCACTCGATCCAAGGGCCTGTATGCCTGTATCCTCCAGTCTCCTGTGCCCTCCAAATCAGCGCGTGTTTACTTGAATTTTGGAATTTAAGCAATCGTAACATTTTTATTTTTATTTGGTAATTAGTGTTCAATTATGGACTAATTAGACTCAAAACGTTCGTCTTGCAATTTCCAACCAAACTGTGTAATTAGTTTTTTTTCGTCTATATTTAATACTCCATACATATATCGTAAGATTCGATGGGATAGATACTTTAGCACTTTTTTGAAAAAGTTTTCACTAACAAAACAAGGGCTCACTAGTGGTTCCGAGAATGCAGTGGCGCGCGCTCTGGTCCTTTACAGGTTTTTTTTAATATAAACGCTTAAAAGACTGGCTCGTATTTTATATATCAACGACCAAAACAATGACTAATATAAAAAGATGGATATCTTGACACATATGTGTAAGGAATCGTGACGTCTAAGAGGGGTGAATTAGACAACTTAAAAATCTACTCTAAACTATGGTCTCTAATTCCACCTAGTCAAAATCTATGCAAGAAAGTAATCTATCTAGATGCGCAACTACAATTTTACTAAATGTGTTGTTATCTCTACCGCAAAAGAGTTATGCAACCTAGGTTCAAATCCTCTCAACTAGCCTATCAACTAAGCTAGGAAAATAAAGCAATCAACCAAGGTAGCAATATTAATACGGAAGCTAAAGATGAGTTAGAAATTCAAACTCCTGTCGATGACTCCGGTATTTTTACCGAGGTATCGAGAAGTGATCAAGCTTCCCCTAGTCCTCGTTGGAGCCACTCGCAAGTAATCCCTCGCAAAGGGCAAGCTCCCGGTCAGGTAACTCCATGGATAGCCTCGGTTCTTCTCCACGCGCAAGTGGGACTCCGATGTGCCTTCCGACAAGCCTCTTCCGGAACGCTCCCTGCTATCTTCACTATCAAGCTTCCGGTTGAATCGTCGCGGGCCTTATTCCCTTCGGTACACGGTGGCGGCCATACCACAAACGCAGTTGGTGTGATCTCGTAAGACTACAAGCCTTTTCGATGTACAACAATGGTGCGCGCAAGCACCGAGTAATAAGAGATGTGCAAATCTCACTAAACACTGGACCTAAACCTAGAGCAAGCGCATAAGCGGTGGTCTAATCAACCTAAGCACTTCGCAAAAGCACCTACGCTAATCACCTAATGAATCACCAAGCACTATGCAAGTGGAGATCACTAAAATGGTGTA